CTATTAAACTGGCCCGCGACTCGGACACTCGGGATCGAGGAAAAAAAGCTCTTCGATGATCGCGATCGACGAATGCCGCGAATCTCCAACGAGCTTGAAGGAATTTCGCCGCGGACACGGCATAAATTGACATTTACTTCAACCGAGCTCGTACCTTGACATTTTTTTTTCGCGGTCGATCGATCCCGAGGAATGCGTGAGCCGGTAGTGCGATATATATTATGCGTATGCCAAGATTCGGCAATTGGGACGCGTGGCATTGAAAATCTCTGCAGATTAAAGCTGAGCATGAGGTAGAAAGTGCAAAGCCCTCGACGAGAGGATGCTTGCCATTAAAGTATTTTTCGAGAGGCATTGATTCGTCGATCTGCTTCGTTTGAAAATATACTCGAATTCAACTTGGAACTCGGTTCCCTAAGTTTTTGATTTGACGATTTACATTAAGAAATATATGTAGATGATCTGAAAATGGCAATATTGATTTCAATACTTTGAATTCGATAATATCACATTAAGACTCCACCGCTAGATGGCGAGTACATTTGTCCCTGTAAATCTGCAAGTGGCAAAGTAAAAATAACTGTATAAGGCTGTTTAAGTATCTGTGAACATTATGGTTGAATATCGAAAAAGGTCGTAGAAGTTTTTTGTTATGTAATGAGCACGATGGTCGGTCAGAAAAGACATCACTGATCTTCGGATGTCAATCGGTCTAGAATCAAATTCTTTCCCTCGATTTTCCGCTATTATGCGTGCACTCGAGCGAGTTTTCGCAACGATCCATATCATTCCTCAAACGCATACACGCGCACTGCGTAAGGACAAAAGATTTGGATTTTGAAAAAATTGGCTATACGCCTTGGCGCATGAGGGCAAGCATTAACACGCATTGGTATCCACACGCCCATGTTAGCCGGCCATTCTGTATATATATAACTGCTCGCAGACTGTCAATGACTGGAATTAATTAACAAGGCATACACGGTACACACACGCATGAATTAAATGCGCGAGAAAACTGCGTGGATTTTTTTCCTCCTCTCTTTCGTCGGCAGCGTGCGTGTGTGCGTGTTTCAGCGAGAGAGAGAGACAAAAGTAATTTGATCTATGACTCACGCGTGGAAAATTTCAAAATATATACAATCGTTCACAACTGCAGCTCGATGCAATTCCAAAGAATCTTGAGTGCAGCAGCAGCGAGCAGCTTTGCATATCGTTATCGCGAGCTCAGCAGCCGACACACAACGAAAGTGAAACGCCTCGGCCGTTATATATCGCGCAAGGCAATAATGTTTTCTCCTTCTCTTCGCGGCGCGTTATCCTACTTATATTGCACAGCAAGGGATAGTTTTTGAAATGAATAATTATACAAATTGTATACATATGCGCGCGAGTGTGTGCACCCACATTGAGCAAGTGCACATACGGCAGCTAGGTACTAGATAGTAGTACAGTTCGTTATTTTTTTTTTCTGCACCTCCGCAGCCGAGTAATGTATTAATCAACGGCTCGAGCCTGTCTATCGCTATGCTATACTACTTCTGTATAAAACACACACAGTGCGCGCATAATGAGTATCGAAAGACTATCTCGAAAGGAATGAAACGCATATTGAGCAATGAAAAACTACTACTGCCGATATCGACAAACTTCTTTCTTTCTCTCTCTATTTCCACCGATGCTGTGTTATTACTTTATATGCATACGTACTTGTAGATACACGCGGTATAATCTCGGAGAGCAGAGAGACGAAGAAAAAAAAAGAATGTGCCCTGGTGTAAGAAAAGCAAACGTCTAGTGAGTTTTTATTACATAATTATTGGGCCGCGCGCGTGGCTTGCATTATAATATACAGTTAAGTACGTGGCACGATCGATAAGTCGCGCGCGGCGCATTCGAAAAATTACGATTTATAATGAGCTTTCGAATATAGCTGCTGAATAGGTTTTATTTTATTTTTTGTCGTGTTGTGTTGTTGTCGTCGTTGTTGTGTTGTTGCGGCGCATGAATACGTTTATAAGTATGAAACTTACGAAATACGTAACGTACATATTTATAACGTTGGAAAGAGCAGAAGAAAAAAAAGTCGTGTCTGGAAATAGCGATTGTGTCTGTGCATGTTTCACCGATTCAGAAAAGAGCGCAAAATCGGAACTCATTTGCACAGCTGTTGTAGCTCTATACGTAGCTGAGACAACGAGGGAGCTACATAACAATTGTAATAAACTAAAATCACTCAATGTTACGCGAGTGTGGCGGCGGTGGCTGCTGCAGCAGCTGCCATAAATTACTCGCGCGCAGCTACTAGACTAGACTACTACTGCCTGTCTGTCTCTCTTTCTCTATACACGGTAATAATCGAACCGCAAATATGATAATCGACTATCTCATAGACCGATCTCTATGGGCTGGAAGCTGTGTATATAATTATTACTACTGCTATGCACAAGGCAGCCAGAAATGATAATTGATTTGCCTGGCGAGAGACACACATTATAAGAAAAGTACGTCTGTCTCGAGCGCACGTGCTTGTCCGTCATTCAAAAGTCGCGTGGCGAGCTCCATTGGTTTTAACGCCGAGCTTATACGTACGAAAGTTAAATTACAATCGTGCAGCGGCAGCGAAGGCATATTTTCTCATGACGCGCCCGATCGCGCGCGAGGTCTCTGCATATGCACGCGTGAAACAGCCGGACTGATCTATAGCTGTGCAAGGCTTTTTCCATTTTTAGAAAATATAATCATTTTTCCAAAAGTCGATATTTATGAGCTGCGGTGGCAGCAGCTGCAAAGATGATTGAATAATTCGATAATTACCCCCCCGACTGCAGATATATGCGGACGTCTCGCATAATTTAATAATGACTGCCAGTGAGATAGAGAGCTTGTTGCATGGCTATAAAAATCACAAAAACGAGTCGATCTCCCAATGACTCGGCCTTCTCTCTCTCTGCACGATTATAGCTATTAATAATATTTGCATCAAGATCGACGAACGAGTACCACATTTGAATAATAGCCGATCGATGTCGATATTTATATCCTGATTTAATGGCTTATTGGCTAATTTTAGCATGATTATCAATTAAACGTAAGTACTCGATAACGTTTTCATACGCAAGGGCGAGATTTCAACCTTTACGATCGTTCACTAATCGGGAGATCCTTGCAAATTATTTACCTCGTAAGCTTCTGTAGGTCATTACGAATACATGCTACATTTGAAGTCATCTTATAGAGCGTATAGATTAAAATAAACATAATAATTTCTCATAGTCACTCTCGACTCGATAAATGCAGAATGTCGCAGGAAATTTCAATAAAATGCGCAGAAGGCCTGTATACATTATTATACATACATAGCGCATTGTGTACAATATATATTTTGACAAGTATCTCTTTCTCGTATCTCCTCGCTTTTGCTGCTGCTGCTCTCTGCACCTCTCGCCGCGCGCGAGTTTAAAAACACTTGCTAACTTTATTGTCCATTGTTCGGGCGCTCGTCTCTCTCTCTCTCTCTCTCTCTCTCTGAGCATGTATTTACATGCGGCTTCGTCGTGTCTCTTCGCGCCTTTATACACTGAGTATTGTAGCAGCTTTAACGTATTATATCGATGGCGGCGGGGCCGTTCAATGACATATTTGCAAGTATATTACGTTGGAGCGACTATATAGATACAAGAGCAACGCGTTGGGCTGCTCCTCCTGCTGCTGTCATCGTGTCATCTCAAATTTATAGACGCAAACTGTACAGGAGTGTACGAAGCGGCTACATGGATCAGATTTTTTTTGTCTCTGGAACCGTTTTCGAGTTTCCTCCGAATCTGCGAATCGCCGTATAAATCCTGTGTCCGCGTGTAACTAACTTCCCGCCTTCGGTTGACGATCCGCGCGTAAATACTCCCACAAAAGCGAAAACTCCGCGCAGAGATAATGCAGCCACTGCAGACATGGATAATCTCTCAGCCGAGTCCTAGCAGCTATACTAAATACAACACGTACACAAAGAATGCAAAAGAATAGCTAGCAGGGGTAGATTAGCTGCACACGAGGTAGACGCGATGCTTTAGCGTACAAGCTTTATACATTTGGTCTTGTACAGCTCGCGCGCAGCGGCGATATCGCGGCCCAGCGATAAGTCAACGGCTGTGTGTCGAGCCACGATACCGTACTTATTATGTACACACGAGGATCGCGAGATGATGTGTGCCGCTGAGTACTGCGTGCATGTACTCTCGTAGCTTATGCATCGCAGGCGATCTCTCAGGTTCAAGGCTGCAACTACCTGTGCCCTCGAGTGAATTAATCTCTGGTTGAGGTTTCACCTCTAATTGCTGCTATCGAGCAGCTGTTGATTGTTTTTCAATTTTAATTCACTTTTTTTTTCAGATACTTGAATTTAAATTTTCGATAATTGATTTGTTGATTTCATTTTAAAGTTTTTACAATATTTAAGATTTTATTCTAGCTATCAAAAACTTTTTATTTCATTTCGTCAGCTTGCGGTATGAATTAATGTCAAGTATTTTCCTTCAATTTGAATTTGTCATTGGGGTTATGGCGAGTTTGGCTTTAATATCATTAAGTTCAGTGCTCTAAAATTATAGTTTTATTTGACCTGAATGGAGAGAAGATCAGCTAGAGTATCAAATGGCCATACAACGGCACATGTATTTGCCGCTAGAGGGCCTTCCGTTTGGCGCCCAAATATAGTATAATGTCACAGGTTTTCTCTGCGTGCATGTGTCTTTGTGCGCGTGCGGGTACATGCGTTCCTCGAAAATATCGATGAAGCTGCAAGTCAAACGCACATGACTCTGTAGTCAGCAGTGTGTTAAGTTGTATAAGTATAAGTGCGGTAGTGATCTTCGGCCCACGAGATTGGTACTCAAAAGACAGTGTTCAGTGCTACAATCAGTGCTATAATTTATTAATCACAGAAATTAGTTTTATCTAATTATTATTATTATCTTTTATTATTTATTTAAGTCACATTGAAAATGTCTTCAAAAGATGAAGTCGCTTGCCATCTTCGTGTAAGAGAAATAAAAAATCAGTTAAAAAGTATAAAACAAGGAGACGCCAGAGCAGAAAAGTATTGTCGCATCTATCGGAAAAGTAATCGCATCACGCGTATATATTTAAGGAAATTAATGAACTGCAAAAGCCTATTTCCGGGCGTCGAAGATAAAATATCAATTTTGACATATAATGTAAAAAACAAACATTTTAGCTCTAGCGAGGTTATAGATTATCTCGAGAAGATCAATTTTGACGTACACGAGTTCAGACTCAAAGATGGAAAGTCCGCTGTGCATTGTTTAGCTGATTTATACGAATTGGCGGAGACGCGGTGTCATCGAGACATGCTTCTCATTAAACATTCCCTTCGGAATTATCCGCGAAAAAACTACTGCGACGCTCACGGTTACACGTACTTTCACGCAGCCTGCATGGTGGCCGATATAAGAGTCGTGAGGAAATTTTTGAGCAAAGGCGTGAACGTCAATCTTGACACGTACACGTGTTCGCCTCTGTTCATTGCGGCCCAGTACAATAACGTAGAAATCGTGGAATTATTACTGGAACACAGAGCCAATCCGAATCAGTCGGACCACGAAGGATCGACGCCTCTTCACGCCCTCGCATTGCCGTATCTGTGTGAATGCATCGAAAGATTTTACTACTGCGATACGAGAAAACCAGTCGATTACATCGTTAAAATGCTCATCGACAGCGGAGCCGATATCGAAGCGCGAAATCGTCACGGAGACACTCCGTTGCAGTCGGCGGTGATGCGTTTCGACGTCGCCCTCACCAAGTCGCTCTTGGATCACGGCGCGTCACTGGACAGTCTGAACGAGAAGCGAATGTTCATTCATAATTTCTCGTCGCTCGAATTGAGGACGTACGCCGTGTCTCTGGATATTATCGAAGTGATGCAATTGTTGCAGTCGGCTGGATACAAAATGGATTTCCACACGAAACTCAGAATGGTTCAATGCTGGACAAGGATTCATGGAAACGATCTCGACCGTCTGCTAGTGAAAGATTCCGGTATGACATATCATTTAGCGGGTGATAAAAATCAAGTTGTCGATATCTATGTACAAATGGCTAAACAACTAACTATTCACAAGCTATATGGTTTTTATATAAAACCAGAAGTTAAAGATTACATGACATCCAGAATACTGGCGCAATTATATTAATTTTGATGAAGGTGACGTTATACATGAACTTGGCGCAAATCATCTAAATAATGCTCTAGTACCTCGGAAAATAAATGACATCAAGATAACCGAAGACGTCTCTCTACATAAACTTAGTACAATGAACTACAGCGAGGGTTACTCGATATTGAAGAACATAAAAAATTGGCGTGTCCCACAAATGGATAACTTAACGTGTGGAAGTACAATCGTGAGCTTCATTGCAAGGAGACACCTCTCAAACATTGCCATAAGGCTGGCGTTGGATTTGGAATTGCTGGCAGCCGATCTTTTCATGACTGATTATTGCTCGTTGAATCTTCCGTACCTCGTTTGCTTAAAAGTTGCAGAAAATATGAGTTACGAGGATCTGTTTCGTCTGTTCGAGGAAATAAACGTAGATGATGTAAAAGAACAATGCGATGGTGTCGATTGCATGATCAGAACCAGATTCGTCAGACTTTCATTGTGAGATGATCGAAAAATTTATATATTTTGACATAACACTTGATGATCATTGATAGTTATTTTTTGTATGCGTGAATTTTATCAAATAAAAGAAGTAAAATTTAAATTTTAACAAGCTTCAAGTTCATTAAAGATTGTTTGATCGATTCTTAATCATCGTGGCTCTCGACAAACAGTGTCCCACAAAATTGCGATTGATTTCATCTAAAGTCTGAAGAACAGCCCTCCGAAATACTATACCCGCCTGTTAGAATATATCAGAGCTTAGCAGAGCTTTGTACGGATCAAAGGGCTTGTCTCTTGAATCGTGAGTCTAAATACGTAATCAAAAAATGGAAATATTTTCCAAGCTAATAGCGTTTTTCCCCTATCTCCGAGTCCACCGCTGCCGCTGCTGCTTTTTTTTCTCTCTGCACACGCACGCTTGTAACGCGGTCTGCATTATGAATCAATCAAAGCCAGCGTTGCTCAAGCAGAGTAGCAGTAAGTGATTTTACGAACCAAAAAAAAAACTGGAATATTATCTTTTAACAAATTATACGCTTTATGTATTATACTCGACGTCGAATGCCCTTCGAGGTCTACAGTATGGCATTTATGCAGAAGCAAATTGTTGTGGAAAATTCATTGCGTAATTCAGCTGCGACTCAAGTTTAGCGCGGCGCTTGGCGTACGCATTATTATTACATACAGCATATGTAGGTAGGTAGGAACGTCGAACCTCGAGTTGTGCCGTGATCTCCACGGCGCCGTCGACTTTTTCCCACCGTGCGCGCACGATAATCGATATTTCCACGCTTATTTGTGTGTCTTTGCGTCTGTGTGTGTGGTGACTTGGACTTACCTAAAACAAACGGAAAATTGCAAACGTGAATTATGGTTCGGTACATATATTTTATATACACATATATATCGAAAGAAAAAAAAAACTATTATATCGCATTGCAGAAACGAATAAACAATTCGCGCGCGTATACACACGAGACAGACGTGGTATATCGACGCGTCGATTCGAAAGCTGGCCTTGCGCGAGTTATAGGCCGGTTCGTATATATACGTGGTATATACGCGGCTGCAAAATTGCACCTAAATTGTTGATAAAATAAGTCTCGTGCGGCGGTGGCGTGGCAGCGATATATACATATAATATGAATATATTTTCTGTCTTTTCAATGTTCCTGCAGTCGGCAAATTGATATGTATATGGGGCCCCAAGTTTTTACGTAAATTTATATATGTAAGAGGGAGAGAGGAAATTTCTGAGGAAGTCAAGTTAAAACGTTTTTTATCTTAGTTATACCGTTGCTGCTGCCGTTGACATGTTGCAAACGCGCGCGGTTTACATGCGCTTGTAATAAGAAGCAAATGTCTCGCTGAACAGATCGCGCGTGGGTGTATTATAATCGGCTGCTGGGCATATTAACAGATGTCAATGCACGATATCGATAACACGTCTCAAATATTTAGTTCAATCGAGTGCATAATGTAAACTATATAAAAAGGATAAAAAAAAACAATGAAATAGCACTATATAGGTAGTGCGCAGGCGTGCCGATCGCGCATTACAAAGTTATACAACATTCTCTGGAAATTCCGAAAGTGAAAAGTGCCGCGTACGGTAGAGGGTGGAGAATTGGATCGCACGGCGGCGGCGATCAACAACAATGCGTGAACGCGCGCGAGGATTTCTGACGAAAAATCTCTGCTGCGGTGCCGCGTGTGTGTATTTATATTACGCAAGAAACGTGCGCATACACATAGCCCGACTGCACGCGTGAAATATACGCGAGGAGCGTACGTGTGCCTCCGCTTGTAAAGTACATAATGTAATTAAGATTAAAAGTTCATGCTGGTATTATAAAGGCCTCGTCGTTGCTTGTTTTGGCGCAGCAGCTCGGCTTCATTAACGATAACGACAATACGCTAAGTGTGCATTGAGAATGACGTTTGAGAAATTGGCATAATTCATTCGAACCGCCGCTGCCGCTGACTGCCGTTGTTGCTCGCCGCGTGGGAGTTTGCTTTTCACCGATCCCACGCCGATCAAAGGCTCGAGACTCATATTTGCCGCGCAAAGTTACTTTACTGGTATGTATACGACAATGGCAATTTTCTAGAGCTGAGGTGCAAAAATTTTGGCGTCACGATCGCGCGCGCGACGATATACACAATATGTACCCTTTTACTTTATCTTTTTCAATAAATTAGATTTCCTCGCTATTATACTGGATATATATATCGGAGAGAAATTAGCGTGGAAAGTAATGCGCATTATTGCGCTTTGTATCCATCGGTTCTGACATAATTTATTAAAATGTTACATTGTTACGAGCGATTGACGTATATACAATACGTAACCGAAGCTGTAAATAACTACGGCAAAGGTCTATACGTGTACGTCGGGTAATTGATATAAAATGACTCGATCGATGGCCGATCGCGGCCAATAATAATGATACACGAAGAGACGTTGAAATGCTGCTCTTTTGAAATTGTCTACAAATGATCGGCTTTGCTGAACGCGAATATTTATTGCCGTTGTACGCGAATGACATAATCCCAAGCTCGCGAGCTCTATAAATGGACGAACGCAACTGCACGCGTATACGTGTGCGTGAGCGAGCCTCGATCGAATCACTGTATGCGCTACTAAAGTCGTATTATGTATAGCTATCGCCATGAGAAGGATTAGCTAAACAATGTGATAATTATGGAAAAAGGTCGCGATCGCAGGCTGAGAAGAGCGCAAGATGCAGCTCTAGCTCAGAGAGAGAACTATGATTCAGCGCGGATGCACGCCACGGTATTATAATGTATAATACCACGAGCTAGCTCGGCTCTATACGTCCACGCGATTTGCAAAAGACACTTTTCTATATACGTGTACCATATAGCTCGTATACAATATGTATGTATGGCAGATGCAAGCGAGATCAGCGTGTCAAGGATACGATCGCGGGTTGACGTTGTCGCACGCGCTCTAGCAGCAATTCTGATAAGCGCGCGCCCCTGTCTAACTACCATGTATTTTATATTATACGCTGTGTGCGCGCGGCAGTCTCGAGATTGCGCGACTCGAGAGACTTTTTACGTTGCTTATATAGCTTGTAATATAGGCGCACTCGATCCTGCTCCGCAAAGAGAGAGAGAGAGAGAGAGACAGAGCGGAGCGTAGGTGGGTGCGACGCAGTAGTGTAGACGCCGGCGACGGGCCTCCGCTCAACACAACATGCCGCCGCGTGATAAAACGTGCCTGGCACACACACACACACATACACACAGAGCCCTCGCGGTTATTTATTATATGCAATATAGAAAACTTGTGCAACGAGAGTTTCATATTATATATAGCGCAGTAGTAGTATACCGGCCCTCGCGAAAACTTGCGCAGCTCCGTGAACGATCTACGACGACTAAAACGACGAGAAAAGAAAGAAGATTCACGAGGCCGACTTTTCCTCGTGGAGCAGAGACTCGGTGCGCCGAGAGAATGTATATAATATAATGCCGGAGCTTCGGCAGTGGTGTAGGCAGAGATCGCGGCTACGTAAGTTGTATGTGTGTAACACACAGCGAAATTATAATAGCGCGAGCGACTTCTTAATAGGCTAATCCTCTCGCGAATAATTACAATTATCCATTATCCGTATGCATTTGTAGATGATCCTATACTGAAAACTTGAAAAAAAAAATTAACTAAATAATGAGATCGTTGAAATGCCTAATATGTACCTTTGTTCAAAGTAACATAACTATACTGCACTAGACTATAAAACATACGTGACGAGAACCTACTGGTGAAAAACGAGTGTGTATAATGTTTGCCTTTGTATACATTGGCTATTAAACAAAGTAATTCGTGCATATATTATAAAGCGAACCTCGCTAGAATTGCCAAGAATACATACACGTAGGAAAATTAATAAATGACGAAATGATTAAACGCGCCCTGTGTCAATTGTCTTCGCCGCGCGGCTATTTAGTATATTTCATAATTAAACCCTTATACACATTACGCGAGAGATCATGTCACACAAGATAAACTGGTCTTGTAATGTACGAATGTATATTCCCATGCCACCGTTGTAAAAACATTTTGATTTCTTAATTTGAGCATTATGAAATTCATATATGTACGCACACAGCGTGGATATTCATCAAGGTTCATTAAGATTGCATTTCACGCGACGCTTGAAGTTTCGAGGCGCGAGAGTTTGTTAACGATTGACAAAAAAAAGGCAGCAGAAGCACACGAAAAATCGCGCCTATTCTTCCCTTTTTTTATAAACAAGTGCGAGTTAGCTGGCCACGATTGTTATCGCCCTCGTAAACGGTTGCTTTATTCCCCCCACAGCAATCATTTATTGTACACAACGAATAGGTTTTTAAAAGCTCAATAATAAACGCAGTCCGCAGCTGTATACGTCGGTAATACGCGGCTAATGTATAAATCGCGTATAATATAATAATACACGTAAGCGGCTTTCGCTCACTCGCGTCGATTGTGTTTTTCTTTTTATTATTTTCGAGCA